TCTCCTATTTCTTAAAACATATTAACATTCTTACTTCATATTCTTCGATAAATTTGATATCCACAGTCTTTGTGGGCCTCATTCAGATTTTGTGGGCCTGGTGTCACTTCTAGATCTTAGTGCCTTATTTATTTCTCTCTTTTATGATTTTTGTCTAGCAGCTCATATTGCTTGGATCTTTATCTGTGGAAATTCTTGAGAGCAGGGCTTGAAGTCATTTCTACACAAAGGATTTGCATTTCTGCTGCAGATCACCTGGGGTAGTACAACACGGTACCACTTTACACTAAAGTTCACTTGCTCTGTTTCAGCCCAAACAGGTCCTGTGAATTCTGATACTAAATCTGCATGAGGATGCACCTGTGATTGAATTCTCAAAGGGAAATATTTGTTCCCCATTCCACCTAGGGCTGAGACAGAAAAGCATCCCTCCCAGAGCTCTCTGAAAGGTGGAATTTGTCTAGCTGATTCACTGAGGGTTATCACCTTTTGGGAGTTACAGCTCCATGAAAGGTTCCCTGATCTAAACTTCCACCTAACATGGGCCCTGGCTTTGTCCCCTGATCTCATACAGGCCCATTAAACACAGGCTCTATGTCTTTGGGCACCTGGAGGGTCCTCAAGAACAAGTGCCAGCTCCAGTGCAACCTTACACTGCCACATTTGTGTTTTCTAACCATTTCTGGATCTCAAGGTTTCCTCATATTTTTCTGCCTGCTGAGGTGTGTTTGCAAAGATGTTTGTAAATATTTATCCAGAAATTTTAGGTTTTTCCAGACAGTGAGTCCACCGAAATTAAATTTCTTCCTAACATGATCTTTAAAAGGCATATGAAATCTCAACTCCTTTCAACTTTCTCTTTTTAAAATTGATTTATTAGAAGATGTTTTATAAATATCCCAAACTAGAATTGATTGAGATTTTTTTCAGACTAATATTGTATACCCCAATGGTACTTTTTTTGTTCAAAATAAATTAATACAAACTATCTCTAAAATATGTTGTTAAATGAAAAAAATCAGAGTGCATAATTGTTTGAATATTGTTCTCTCAGTATGTGCACAAGTGTGTACCTGTATGTGTGTGTATGCATGTGTGCGTGCGTGTGTGTGTGTGTGTGTGTGTGTGTGTGTAACAGTGGTTGTCTTTGACGGTGGGAACTAGAATGGTAGGAAGACTTACTTTTTAGTTGTATGCTCTTTTATACCTTCTAAATGTTTCATCTTGTCTATATACTATTTATTTAAAAAT